GATTCTCTGTATGAATAGTTTAATATGGCCATGAATTCATGTCTGATGAAAATCGTATATATTAACTCTGTGGACATCAAATTGTTATGGTAATAAAAGTTTTTTTTGTTAATTTTCGCAAAAATCATCATCACCCTTATTGTGAATCTCACTTGTAGAATTCTACGAATTTCAAACTAAGTTACGTACGTAGACTTTTGAGTAATTATTAATCTCACTTGTAGAGATTATGAATCTGCAACGGCATTATTATTTTTCGGAGTGTCAAAATCGTTATTTTATTACAGCTGTTAAGTGACGACATTTAAATTTTTCAAATTTCATAGTAGATATCATAGATATCATAGTAGATACAAATTTCATAGTCAGATAAAAATAATACACATTTCAAAAAATAATAGACATTTCAAAAAACAATAGACATTAAAAAAAATTAACTTGTTTTCCTTTAAGAAAATCTTCAAGAAAATTTCAATAAAATATATATAAATAACCTTTACGGCTGAGTGTAAAGGCTGAGTAGGGTCAAAGACTCTCGGGACTTGTCCCCAGATGAGATCTGAAACTAAAAGATAATCAACCTTTTACACAACCCATCCTTTCTTAATTAATCCCATCACCCCCGATTCCCCTGGTCTGGACTAAAGTGAACCGCACCAATAATCAGCTTGGCTGGGGGCCCAGACAAATAGCCGAGTCGAGAACGGAGTATCCCGACACCTGGCGCCTTGCGGATTATTTAGCCTTATCACAGTATAGCAGTTCTCAAGGTACTCATCAATAAGTCTGGTACTCATCAAAAACCGGAAAGGAATGTGACCAAGTCAATTCCGAGAACTGCGATCAGTAAATTCCAGCAGGGGTCAAGAGGCGAGTACTACGCGTGCAGCAAGCAGTGCTGTGAAACCGAAAGTGACGTAAGAAACGCAACCTGGGCCAAACTGGCAGACACAAAGCTGTGACAAAGTAGGCCACGTGAATGCCAAGGCAAAGCCAAACACATGACCACAGTAAAATTGACTGGCCCAAGTCACAAGCGCATGCCTACAGCAGCTATAACGCCCCCTCAGAAGGCTAATAGAGAGCGCAGATCAGCTTTTAGGAATTTGGAGAGGATCGGCCGAATTCCGGAAGATGACAGATCGGAGGAGGAGAAGTCCACCTATAGGTGGGCGCAAAGTATAGAAAAGGCAAAGATCCACAGAGGATTCACCTTGGAAAGCCACGAAGCCGCGACAAGTCAACAGACCGTTAGGCGTGGCCACACCAAAGATTCTTTCAAGACATTTAGCGAAAATCTTCAGGGCCATCTAATTATTGCTGTGATAAACCAGGCACAAGATGATGGCAGGATCCCGGCGGAAAATTGGAGAAAGATTGAGAGGAAAATCCTGGAACATACCCTTCACGCAAAGACCACGGTTAACATCAAGGTTACGTTAAGCTCATAGCGTTCACGAACAAGGGATCACCCAACCTGTACACGAAGGCGATCCAAAGGATAGGTGATATCTGGCCGGGAGCTAGACTCGCAGTTGTGGCAAAGGATCAAATTCCCAGCAAACTGCGAGCTCGCCCGTGGATTCCGGCAAAGTCATCTGACATCGAGACCATCCAAGAGATGATAAGCCTAGGCAATCCCAACCTGCCAACATCTAATTGGAGGGTTGCTAAATTAGAGGCCTGATAATACTAAATGACTCAGGAAACTAAATGACTCAATGATCTGTGGACTCAGGAAGCAAAACTGCAAGCTATTCTTTAGCAATAGCGTCGGAAAGGTAGACCCCCTTAGTAGAGCTCCTGCCCCCAAACATGAGAAACCTGATAGAGATGGCCCGATCTCTTGGCACCAGCTTCATCATTGGAATTGACGCGAACGCGTCACACAGTCTGGGGAAGCTCAGACACAAATACAAAGGCTGAGTCAATTTTGGAATATTTCTTGGGTACTAATCTTATTTTATGCAATAGGGACTCAGAGCCTTAGACTCTCGTAGAACCATATTAAGAATTCTTTAAGAATATTACTCTTATAATTTCAGTCTTGTAGAGCACTAAAAGACCCTAATGAGATCTTTATAAGAACAAAAGAGCGCAATTACTAGAGTTATTAATTCTTGTAATGAGAGTTAAGCTCCCATTAAAAGAGTTTTTAAAGCATATAACTCTCACACTAGTTTTGGTATACGAAAACTCTCTCTAAATTTATAATAGTGTTACTAGAAAGAGACAGCAGTACATTGTAGAATAAATATATCGATCTTACTTCGAACTTTATAAAAAATATATCTATTCCGCTTTTAGTAATTATTTTTTTAACAAAAATGAAACAATATATACAAATGTTTACGTATATGATATGTAATCAATAAATATTTATACGAGTATTCAAAAATTTTATATTATAAATTAAAAAAAAATTAAAATAATTTTTTTGCCATGATTATAAATCAAAAAGTTGCTGGCATTAAACTGGCATTAAAATTTTAATGACAATGATAGTATTGTACTTCGAAAAAAAGCAACGCCAACTAAAAATAATTAAAATTTTTATGCATATTTATTAACCCTATAATATTTTATTTCTTCTTTTTACATTAATTTTAAAATTTAAGAATTGTTAAGCAAAAAATAAATATACTAATGTGCATAAATTCCAACTAAAGCTTTATTATATTCAAATAAAACTATGATTTTGCATTTCATTAACTTTAATTTAATAATTTCTGTACAATAAATGACAATACTAAAATGGCCGTGCCTAACAACTGGACTTATAAAGAAATTCTTTTAAGAACAACATTCTATAACAGTTAACATCTTATAAAAAATGCCTTATGAAAATTAAAATTTTTTATGGCTTGCTGAAAGTAGTTTTGCTATGAGAGTAGCAGAATTTTTAACACTACAAGTGATAGGTCTTATTATAAGAACCTAATGAGAGTTGCATAAAAACAAAAAAAAAATTATGAGAGTATTGGAGTGTGGTATGAGAGTTCTATGAGAGTTTTAGTTAATTTTTTAACTCTTCAAAATTGTTACTTGGGCATTCGGATGAGGCGGCAGAATCGGCCATGCGCTTGCAAGTTGTAACACAGGCAGCAATAAGAGCTTCTGGAACGGTCTGGGACTGCAAGTTACTTCTAAACGAGTTGGCAGATCAGTTCGAAGTTAACCTGATTTGGGTTCCGTGACACTGGAAGGAATTCCAATCCAAGGAAACTGTAGGGCAGATGAGCTCGCGAGGCATGAAATGACTCTTGGAGTTCTATCTGAATAGGAGAACCTAGGAATGCCTCTGAGTACGTACAGGCTGCTGGAACCACGTGCAACGCAACTAGAGAATTGTGGCAAAGATTGGATCTGCGACATTGGATTTTTGAAGGGATCATAACGAACCATTGTCTTATTGGCGAACACGCCAAGAGGATGGGCCGGCTTGTGAACGCTCTCTGTAGGAGCCTCGTTTGTTCCTCAGATCATTTTTATTTTTGCGGACTGCGGATCTGATAGGTAAATGCAGATACTAGAAGCCTTAGCCGGTTTCTGAAAAGCGCGGGCTGGTTCTCCTGAGGGATTTTGTGGATCTGGCGGTATAACAGCGGGCTTTACTGGCTTGTTTACCTTACGGTAGCCGCGTCGACCTAACCTAACCTAAACTATATAAATCAAATAAATTCTTCTATATACTTGCATTTCCCTCTTTTACATAGAAAAAATTTAACAAATAAATAAAAATTTTAAAAAAATTAGCCTGCCACTCCTGAATACTGCTTTCTACGTTTGAAAATTTCATTAGTAGAATTTTGATATTTATTTTCTTTACAAGAGTGATTCATAATTATTCTATTACGAATTTCGTAATACATTTCTACTACTTTGGAATTCACATTATGAAAATCGTAATTTCTCCGAATTTCAGTGCTACGAGTGAGATTTACAATAAGGGTGTATATTCTTACATACATATGTATGTATGTAAATACCCTGAATAAAATGGGGGTGCACTTCAAAACTGTAAAATTTGGTAACCGCAAAAATGTTAATTTCATCACTTAAAAAACATATAATAAAACAAATAACAAAGGATAGTGCCAAAATCAGAGAGCTTTCGGTTGCAACGATGAAATTTTACAGTTTAAAGTGCTGTCTCATTGTGTTTGAGCATATGTAGGTTTAAGCGCAATAGATTCAATCTGATATGCAAACAGTTAGCCATCAGGCTTTATCGTAGATTTAATGTTAGACTTTTCGCTAGATAATCTTTCGTTAATGTTAGATACATATGTAAGCAACAATAAAGTTTAAGTGGCTAAATTAATCAACATGTTTACAACGTGCTGAAGTATGGAGAACATACATATAATGAAGGAAAACAAAACATAGTTCGAAATGTTTTGTATGAATAAAAAAACTCATTTTGATGTATTCAGTTCATAACATTCTATAAGTGTATACATATTCTTGCATAGGGTTCCCATATCATTTTCTTAAAAAAGTGAACGGTTCTGATGACAAAAGTGTACTTTCATACAACGCATTTTCCAAAAAAGTGTACAATGTATTATTTTCTTTTTTTTGTTCTATTTTCGTATTGTTAGTGTTTTTTCTTTTCACTTATTTTTTATTCCTTTCACTTTTCGTAACAATTTCATAAAAGCCATAAGAGACAAAATATCATCATTAAATAATATAGCATATTTTGGTTGGTACTCCTTAAATGATCTAAACTCATTTAAGGATAACTCATAATCTTTTATATATTCATAAGCTTGTTTACATATTATATTAAAGTTTTATTTAACAAGCATCAAATTTTTAATAGTATTCTTAATTAATTTTTCTGGTTATCAGACCACTGTTCATTAAATAAGGTAAAATGTTCTGTTTCCTTTTCAAAACTTCAAACTGTTCTTTCACTACAAAGACAAACTACGGAAACTCTTATAGTCTTATAGTGTTTACTGGTGTTTACCTTGACATTACAAATTTATGCTGTCAGCCGTGGTATTAACTATTTCATTTTCATAGTGTTGAACTGAGTTTTGTTTTTTGTTATGCTTTGTACATGTTAGAAATTTAATTGGTTATAATCAATTTATAAATGTTCAAAAGGACTAAAAAACTGGAACCACCTCCACCTCCCAATTTTTCAGATATTTTAGAAGATTTGGAAACATTTCATGTTGAGGTAAGTCTATATTTTACAGAGAAATAAAAATAAATATTTCGTTTTTAGAAATTATTGCCCATAAGGAATAGAAATTTGGAATGCTACAAACAGAAAAGTGCTCATGAAGACATAGCAGAATTTTGGAACTTATTTGAAACTTTTATTTTCGATGTTGATGACCTAAAGAGAATGAAAACTGAACTAAATGGATTTAAAATAAGTTTGGAATCAAATAAATTAGAAATTGACACAGTATCTAAAAATATAAAGTCGAGCATCGAAGAACATTTGGAAAATACAAGGAAAGTCACAAAAAAGGATGAATAACTTCAAAAAATATTTTAATATTTATTCAACAAATAGTTTCATTGTGAATTGCACTTTTTAATTTATCTGCAATCTTATCCTCGTCTTCAATGTTCACCTAAAAATACGATTTAAAGTTTAACTTTTAATTTACAATATTTATATAATGTTTAAATGCTAATAAAATTGCTTACAAGAAAAACTTTCTGCTTTAAGCTTAACAAAGTTTTTATTTTTAAGGAAATAATTGCGTTTGGCTCATTGTTAAAACGAAGTTTGCTGCTGTCGTCCAAAATTTCTAGAAACATTTTCTGGTTTTCACCAAACTCAATTAAAACACTTGGAATATTCAACTCTAAGATTGGTTGAACAAGTTTTGTATTTTTTACTCCTAATTCCTGCTGATGTTTTTTTACTAAATCATTTACTCTACTTAAATTTTTATTATTTTTTAACAAAAACGCAGGAGCAACACGGTTTTCATCAAAAGGATTATCTTTTGATAGGTGAAATGATTTTTTTGAAACCTCATTTACTAATTCATCAATTTGAGCTATATTAATTAAAAGTTTAAACCGTGAATCCAATTTGACCCTTGTATTTTTCTCCTTTGAATCCAATGAGTGACTGGAACATGTTTTTAAAATTTCTTGTAGCAAATTATTCGATTTATAATTTAGCATCCAAAGCGACAAGCATGTATCAACTAACTCATCAAAATTTTTTGTGTACTCGTTTCGACTAATTTTTTTAAGAATGATATTTTCAAAATATTTTAAATCGTCAGCACCTAAACTTGGGGTTTTAAGTTGAGCACAACACCATAGAAAAGTTGCTATATCTTTTGGCCTTACATCGTTGAATACTAAATTATTTACGTTTACAGAAGCTAGGACACCTTTACAATATTCCACAATATGTTGGGAAATTTCTTCTTTATTGTATTTATTCTCTGCAAAAAATGCTATTAAAATAATTTTAATATAGATTCTAGTCTTATAGATTGTACATATTCTCACCAAAAATGTGACATAATCCTTTAAAATCAAACTTTCTCTTATTATTTATAATTTCATTCTCTAGTTTATGAAGAACATCATCGGACTTGACACGATTAAGTCTTAAACTTTTCAATAGTGTTATAAGTATATCATTATCTACTTCTTTTTCGCAAATTTCTAAAATCGTTCTGTCTTGATATGTTTTTACATCAAAAAGAACACTACTTTTGTAAGCTGCATTCAAAACAATTGCAAGGTCTAACGAGTTTAACTGATCTAAATAAATTTCCGAAAATTCTTTTAAAAATTTTTTCATCAAATGAGAAATTCCATAATTTCCTTTTGAGAGCCCCAAATAATAAGATAACTGAACAAACGTCCTTTTAGTATGTGCATTACTAAATTGCTCTACTGCGGCATTAAGACCAGATTGGTAAAATCTCAACTTTGTAATTTTATTTGGTATTAGATACATAAAAGAGTACAAGTTTCGGAATATTTCATCTAGGTCCATATTAGCTAAATTTTCACAACATAGGTCATCTAAGCAGGTAATAACACTTGCAACATTTGAAGGATCTGCATTTGTTTTGTAAGTTGAAGTAAATATGGAAACATAAGGAATCTGATTTTGATTTGTTGTAAGAAGTAATTTCTCATATTCAGAAATAGTATTCAATGGGTAATATTGAGAGTATTTCACTGTTTTCGGAACTATATTCTCACTCTTACAGTTTTCTAAAGCTATGTACTTGATGAAACGGGTTTGCAAAGTGCCGCTTTCCCCATGTGATCTTTCCAAAATATCTCGAGCTGTAAATGATGACTTTGTTTTAAAATGACGATTTCTAAAATTTATTCTAAACGACTTTACGCTTAAATTTAAATTGAATGGTAGTAGTTTAGAAAAAAACATATTTATAAGTAATAAAAATAAAATAAAGTAAAACTTTAATCAAATTCTTGTTTTGTTTCTAACAAATAAATTAACCTAAAGATTAATGCATGCATATCTTGACATTACAGAATTCTGTGAGCCGTGATGCATATGAATAATAGATATCATTTAATGCTATTCTCAAACTTAACGTCAAATAAGCGTTCAGTGGTTGACGGTCACTTGATTGCAAAAAACACCATTAAGCCAATATTAAGTGTGTTATAAAAGAAGTGCTAAATTAGGATATTTATTTCCACCTGCCATTAAAATCATAGAAATTTATGATTACATAAATAGTCGTATACAATTCTCTTGCCAGAAAAAAAGATTTTCTAGCGAGAGACTGTACACGACAAACTTGTTATATGCAATTCGTGATGAAGAAGGTTTTTCAAAAAAAAAATTTTCTTTAAAATTTTGAAAAGTTGGCAACATTATCTAATTTGCTATACTACTAATACGTGTCTTTTCTATATTTGTTTATGTTGAGAATTATTATTTGTATTCCACTTTAAATATAGTTAAATACAAGTTTTATTATTATTAAAAATTTAGTTTTTTCACTACTTCGGATGGATTTTTTGAAGAGTGGATTGAAAACTGTTCTTGGAACGCAAGAACCAGGTCAACAACCCTCGGGAGCGGAAACTGTTAGTAAATATTTTTAATGTTCTTAATACTTATGAGAATTACTTTGATAAATAACAAGAAAATTATTTTATAAATTTAATAAAAAAAAAAAACTCAAAAAAGTTATTGAATTTCAATAAATAGGTGGAACGCTTAGTTGATCGGGTAAACTCCTCTACACTTCTAGATGATAGACGGGATGCTTGTCGTGCTCTCAAAGCTCTATCAAGAAAATATCGAATTGAGGTTGGTGCTCAAGGAATGTCCGCTCTAATCCAAGTATTACAAATGGATCGGACAGATAATGAAATCGTTGGATATGCTTTGGACTCTTTATGCAATGTAATGTCACCTGAACAATTTGATGAAGAAGCTGATAATCCTACAGTGTCCATCAATGTTGGAGAACAATTTACGGAAATGTTTATAAAAACACCTGAAAATGCTACAGTGGCGCTGAGTTATTTAGAAGAATATGATTTTCAAGTCAGATGGTCAGCTATTAAACTTATAACCACACTTTTAGCTAATAAAACAAAAGAAATTCAAGAAATCGTGCTAGTTAGCCCTATGGGTGTGTCCAAACTAATGGATCTCTTAGTAGACAGCCGAGAAGTAATTAGGAATGACGCTCTCCTTCTCCTTATACAACTAACAAAAGGTAAATTTCATTATTTAAAAAAATTATTTTAGTTAATTTCACGAATTTATAATGCAAGGTAATGCAAATATACAGAAAATTGTTGCTTTCGAAAATGCATTTGATAGACTGTTCGATATTATACGGGATGAGGGCTGCTCCGACGGTGGAATAGTTGTGGAAGATTGCCTGATTTTAATGATAAATCTGTTAAAAAATAATTCAAGCAATCAGCAATTTTTTAAGGAAGGTTCTTATATCCAAAGATTGTCACCTATGTTCAAGATAAGCCCAGAAACTGAAGAAACTGGTTGGACGCCTCAGAAAGTTTCAAACATGCATTGCATGTTACAAGTTGTCCGTTCCCTTGTCAGCCCAAGCAATCAATTTCATGTTATTGCATCATGTCAGAGAGATATGAGAGTCTGCGGACTCTTAGAAGCTTTGGCAAACATTTTAATGGGAAGTGGTGTTCCAGCCGATATCTTGACTGAAACCATAAATACAGTTGGTGAAGTTATGCGCGGAGACATTAGCAACCAAGAATATTTTAGCACCATAACTGCACCTAGCAATCCACCACGTCCAGCTGTCGTAGTTTTACTTATGTCAATGGTGAACGAAAAACAACCATTAACTTTAAGATGTGCTGTGCTGTATAGTTTTGAATGCTTTTTCTATAAAAATGAAATAGGACAAGCTGCTTTAGTTCAAACATTATTGCCGTCAAGTTCTGAAGTTTCTAATTTAACAACAGGTCAGTTGTTGTGCGGGGGCTTATTCTCAACAGATGTCTTAGCGAATTGGTTTTCAGCTGTTGCTCTGATGCATGGTTTGCTTGATAACTCGGCACAAAAAGAACAACTGCTAAGGGTGCTTTTGGCTACTTCACCTGGCAGTCAACCAGTTTCGTTGCTGCAGCAGTGCACACAATTGTTGCAGCAAGGAAAATACAAATTACAAAGTAAAATTGGTCTTTTAATGTTACTCAGTACTTGGCTCAGTCATTGCCCTGTAGCAGTAAAAGCTTTTTTGTCAGCACCAGGTTGTATTGCTTATTTATTAGCTCAGATTGGCGCAAATGAGCATGATGAAAATGAATATTTAGTACAAGGGTTATGTACATTTCTTATGGGTATTTGCATACAATTTAATGATAATTCATTGGCTAATTACAAGAAGGAAGATATATGTCAGGTTAGTTTTTTTTTTAATTTCAATATTTTGTTTATATGTATTTTGTTTTTTTTTCTAGTTAATTATAAAACGAATTGGATTAGAGTATTTTATTGCTAAGTTAGGAGATGTTTCCAAGCATGAAGCTTACAGTAGAGCAGCAAAGCAACCTCAAATAAGAATAAAATCATCGTCAGAGCTTTTATTAGATTACGAATTTTGCAAATTATTCAAAACTTTGGAAGGTATATTTTTATGTTATTTTGAAAAATATAATACTAAACGCGATGATTCTAGCAAGTATTTCAAAAATGTTAAATTATTGCGATCCAAATAGTGCTAATTTGACGGAACTTACTTTAAGTAGTGAAGCTTCTGACTTAGTTGGCCAATACAAGGATGTTATAAGAGGATTAGATACTGAAACTAAAACATTAAAAGAAAAATTACAAATATTAGAGAAAGAAAATGATAACTTAAAAATCCAAATTGCAAATCTTCAGCTGTCTAATGCTCAGTTTTCAGATCAAAATATTTTATTAAAAGCACAACTTACAGCTGCTTCAGCTAGTAATAACCACGAGGCAATTGAAACTATTAATGTTACTCAAACTCGTGGTGAGTTAGAATTTTACAGGAGCGCAAATGTTAAAATGGTAGAGGAAATTGATTCCTTACAAGGAAAATTAATTGCCGAAACAGAAAAAGTTAGAATTAAAGAAGAAGAACTTGAAAAGCTCCACAAGGATCAAGAAAACTTACTTGAACTATTGACTGACCAAGAAAATAAAATTAGTAGATACTGTTCTCTTTTAAGAGAAGCAGGTCACCCTGTCGAAAGTGATGAGGAGTGTGATGACGAAGAACTCGATTCGAATGATATAACTGAAAACAAAAAACCCGAAAATGCCATAAATGAAAAAATATCCACTAATGTAAATTGTAAATCAGAAAGTATTGAACATTCTGTAAATTAAGGGAAGTTGTTAAATTTAATGCGTAATTAATAAACTTATTCGAACTTAAAAGACTTTTGTCAATAATTTAAAATAACAATGGATATTTTTATTTATAAAAATAAATTTAGGAAAAATACTTATTGATAAATTTAGGAAAAATACTTATACAGTTTTTGTTATTGTTAATGAAGTTTAACTATTTTCTTATTTCCAAGAATATAATTACAATGTTTGTGTAATTATGTTTACATACAACTTTGCACAAAGTTTTGAATAATTTGTTAGTTTGATGCACCTATTTAAAGGCGTAAGCACCTACATACGTACATTTCAATTGTTTAATAAAATATATAATTGAGGTTACTGAGCATTACCTAATTAGAAATAATGTAGTTTAAAAAAATAATTAAAGAACATACGAAGCAACTAAATTCATAATATTTCAAATTTTTTTATGTTAATTTCATGTTTTTATTTTGTTCTTGTGTCTAATTTTCTTTCGGTTAAACTCAATAGACTGTTAACTATATCCAATAACTTCACATACTTCTATTTTGTCTAATAAAAAAAAGTGTAAATTTAATTAAGTGGGTCGGCCGGAAGTGTTTAGATGTACATATGTTTGTTTATAGTAATATAATAAAAACATTTGTCTTCACGTAATTACGATAATGTACATACATTTACTTATGCACAGTGAATTTATTTTAATTTTAAATAATTTATCTTAACAATTAATCTTAATGTTAAATGCAAATATTGAACATATCGTCCATTTTCGAATTCGAAAGTCTACAGAAAATTAAAATTTTATTTGTTTACAAAATTATGCAAAAAAAAAATTTTTATATTTAATTTTCATTTGTTTTTGAACTCCTGTAACCTTTCTTCGTTTTCATTATAATCAAGTGCATTTGATTCAATTTGTTCAATACATTCTCGGACAATACTCCATAGCACAAAACTTGTTTCTTCAGAAGTAAAAGGTTTATTGATAGGTGGCACATGAATAAACAAAGTTCTTCTGCAGTCAACATCCAAAGACTTCAAATAAATATATCCACATAAATAGTTTCCACAGTCATTTGAAACCAAAACTGGGTTTTGTTTTAAACATTCCTGATTTTTATTAATTCTCTCGGAAATTCTTCTCGCGTTCAATTTTGTCTCTAGTTTCTTGCAATCAATTCCATTGTTCGCAAGAGACGCGGTAGATCCTGGCAATAGTTTGCAAGAATAATCTACACGGTCAAATTTTTTGTTATGAGCTGTGTTTTCTATATGAAGCGTTTTTGCTTCTCCATTAACGCCACAATGTATAACGAGCTAAAAATATACATACATAATTCTAGTTACTTAATGTCTTAACCATTTTGTCAATTCTTTATACATCTGGATTCCTTTTCCAAATATTCTCAATGTTTTTATCAACATCGTCATACGTAACTGCAATAAATATTTTTTCAACCTTATAGTGATTTTGGTTTTTGCTTATTAATGTTTCAGGAAGAATTCGTACTGCCTCCCAACTTGCATTCATCAATTCATGTCCAGCAAAAGGCCCAAATCCAGTAACTACTATTAGACGTTCGTTGTTTTTTTCCTTATCTACTTTAATAGCAACTCCTTCACAACTTCTTTTACTTACAGGTTCAAAAGATTCTGTAATTGTACTCATATTTTGGCAGCTGTTCAGTTCCTTACTTGTCGACAACAGTTTATTGTCATTTGTCAAAATGTTATTGTACAATAATATAATACATAATATAATAATTGTATAATGAGTACAATAATTATTGTGTACATAGAAAATAGACTTGCTAGATTAATAGACTGGCAGTAGAGTCTATTTTTCCTTTTCTCTCTAATGGGATTTGCTATCTCTCCATTTTGCTTAAAAAAATGTTGTACTTTAGGAACTCACATGTTTTTGACAATTCAAATAAAAACTTCACTCATCACAAAAATAAAAATATTGCATAAAAATACCAAATATTTTAAGCAGTACTGTATTCTAGGGGAATCTAAAAGTGAGAACTCTATTGTTTTTCTATATTTGGTGGAAAATAATTTTTTTGTATATGTCAGTAGACATATTTAACAGCATAATTAGCATGAGTTATGAACATACAAAGGCATAAATTTTCTAACAATTTGCTTGACATTTTTTATATGATAATAATTTGGTACTTGTGAATATCGTCTACCTTAGCTGTGTCTACACGGTTTTATATCAACGGCTTACATATGTTTCTTTGCAAAAAAAGCTATTGTGCAAAGAATATGAAATGTATTTATTGACGCAAAGGTTGCCTTGTGAACACAGGTATTTAAGGTTTGTGGTGCTATATGTATATTAAATAAACATTTTACTGCGTTTTATTAAGTCGACTTTAAGCCGACTTGATTTGAAATTTTCAAGCAAATACGATTCGATAAAATGATAAACTTCTCTTGAATATCGACTGCATATACACAAATTGAATATAACATCTTAATATACAGTGTGTCATATAAGGTGACAAATAATTTCAAAAATGATTCTTTGATCAATTTTCAGCAAAAAAATTTTTAATTTCTAGGAAATTTCTACAAAACTTTTATAATTTTTTCCTTTTTTTCGAAGCGCTATGATCAGATCTTAAAGCTCACCTATATAACTTTTCTTCTATCCGTTAACTTCCCACAAAAATGTAATTCAGCCCCTTAAAACTAAACGAATGAATCTTAATTTTGCGGGACCGTCAACCGTGTAGTAGTCCCATTTCAACTTTTCACTTATTTTACTAAATTATTAATCGCCAAAACTATATAAGTTCTCAAATCAAAAATTTTCACGAAGAATTATAGCAAATAATAAAGGGTTGATAGCAAATTTCATTATCAGTTAATTATCTGTCATTCCAATCAATTTGTACATTAGTACAGTACCAGTCTATTACCAGTTATTAACTTCGTCTATGGTGTATTGTTTAACAAATTAATTTTTTTGGTTTCTACAAACTACACTAGTTCTTTTGGATTAACAGATTATTAATATTATTTTTAAAACAAATTAAATTAGAAGTGTTGTCCCAAATATGGTAAAGCGGGCTGCTGGCTTTCTTGTTTTTCGTATATTAAATAATCAGATAGAATACTTATTATTACGCGCATCATATGGGATTCGTCATTGGTCTCCACCAAAAGGTACTTGCACTAATATTACATATTTATTTTTCATGTTTACAAAGATATTTTTATATGATTTTACTTCTGCACTCCCCTTTCGATTTTCCAATTTCGATGTATTTAGGACATGTGGATCCAGGAGAAGATGATTTTACAACAGCGCTGAGAGAAACTAAAGAGGAGGCTGGGTATACAGGGGGTATATTTTTTATTATTCAAATTTTTATGCTCGAAATCTTTTTAAGGTATTCTGACTTAGATTTAAAAATATACACTAATGAAACGATGACCTTAAAATATGACGTTGACGGAGTGCCTAAATCTGTAATTTATTGGTTAGCTGAATTGGTGAATCCTTGTAAAAACCCTGTTTTATCGGATGAACACACAGAATACAAATGGCTGCCGAAAAATGAGGCAAAGGAACTAGCCAAATTTAAAGATTTTCAAGATTTAATTGATTTTTTTCATGACAAAATAAACAAATAATTAATTTTAAAATATTAAAATTTATTCTAAGTCTCTCACAGGGAATACTCTCTATTTTATGAAAATTTCAAAAATTTAAGAATAAAAATGTAAAAATATTCATTAAAGCGGATTGCGTGAAAAAATTATTAATAAAAAAAAACTAATGATGAGTACGTGGTTGAGGTGAACTATCGATGGCACTATCGATAGTTCTCAATTATCGAAATTATCGATGGTTTTAAAGTCGATATAATAGCATCATTGAATATGCATCAATTCTTGTCAAATATAATATTCAAAGAATGTGTGCGTATGTACACATTCTTTGAAAATCAGTGAAATTTGAAAATTTTTTCTTTTTATTTCTATGTTCTTTTTTTTCATTTCAAATATTTCGTGAAGACGTGAAGTGAAGTTGTCATGGAGTTTCATTATATTCTTAATATTCCTTCTTTGGAATGAATAAGCAAAAAAACTTGTTACTGACTATGTTAAAGTTGAAGTTTAACACACTATATGTCGTTTAAATACCGAATAATAACCAAACGTTTACATAAACAAATTATTGGAATAACTGTTTCAATGTATACAATAACTTTACTAATATTCTAAAATATTAAATAAAAATATTTTAAAATTAAAATATTTCAACTTGCCAATTTATAGGCAATCGACAAAAAAATTTTTTCGCTTAAGCGTATGACAAAAATTCAAAAAGTAAAAAACAACAAACGCTTTTTCATCGTTAAAATAATGAAGAGTTAAAAAAATAAAAATATAGTTAACATTATGCACATTACAATGCATGTGTGAGCCGCTGATAAGTCTAATTACAGTTGATATTTTTCAAAAAATAGTATTTACATATATCTATTCATTGTTTGGTTGTAATAACACTGTCGTGTATGTACCACTATGTCATTGTTTCTTTACAAATTAAGTGCAGGCATTATACTACACAGAATACATTATACTACACAGAAAGTTGCATTACAAAACTATCGATATATCGCGATAGTTTTTCGACGATATATCGAAAATATCGATGGTGCAATATATCGAAAGTTAATCATTTATTTATTTACTTAAAATTTCACAAAAAATTATTTAAATATATTGGTTCCGATTAGTTTCGACTTCTATGTCATCCTAAGGGAACGTAGTATTACTGAGAATGACATAGAGGTCGAAACTGACCAGGTAAAAAAGGTACCAGATTTTTCCTTCATACAAATAAATGCTTATAACTTCGGAACCTCACAACATAGAGTTATCATTAAGAGTTTGTTTTACAAGCGATTGAACGGGCTGGCTAAGGAGGCACAAAGAGCTGTAGGAATAAACAATATGCGTGCTCTGTACCAAGAAGCAAAGTCAACCGATCAAAGATAAGGAAGGCCGGCCACTCACATCCACGCAAGAGCAACTACGGAGATGGCAGGAATACTTCGGGGAAGTCAACAATAGCGACCAGCGGTACCAGCAAGAACAACAAACACAAGAAAGCAACGACAGCACCAACACAGTAAATCAGGTCCCACATGCTACCCACAAATTGAAAAACAAAAAAGCAGAAGGACTCGATGTAATACCAGCAGAACTCTTAAAGGCGGGTGCTAATACAATAGCCGGCATTATACGTACGATTCTCAACACAATATGGTGCACGGACAATACACTGTCCGTGCAACTGTGGTTAACCACAGTTAAGCAAAGTAATATTGTGAAATATTAAGCATGAAGTAATATTGTGAAATCAGTATACCTCAGTAAATTGAAATATGAGGCGGCCTACTATGTAGCGTTACCTATTTAAACCGCAGCTATTTGTTTTATCGCAGCGAATTAGAAATACTAAAGGAAGAAGCACCTTTGTTTCTATCTCGCTTACACTCCCTAAGTAGTCCTATCTTGAAAAAAACTTAGTGCAGCCATAAACATCAGGTAAGTCTCCTTCTTTTCTCCGATAAAAAGTAAACAAAGAAGATTTTGTTATTTTATTTATAAAATTAGTGCAGGTTGTAAGTAAATATTCATGAAATATTAAGTAATAAGTGTTAAAAAACGAATATTATTTTATAAAAACTTACCATATACATGTGGATATTACTCATTTCAATAATTAAAAGAAATATTTTATTCATTAGTGCTTTGAGTAATTCATAATTTGAAATTTTACTAAGTTTTTAATTTTGCAAGGAAAACATTTGTTTTTGTTTTGTGTTAAATAAAAATGACTTCGGATGAAATAATTTTGCTAGGACCGGATTTTTTTTAAGAAAATTGATTTTGTGTTTGATAAAATGTAGCATACAAACAAATATTTTAAATGATCTTTTTTTTTGTAATTACAGTTTTCATAGAAATGATGAAATGAAATTTATTTCCCTTTATAGAGTGAAGATTTGGTCACCAAAAAAATATATGAAGACGTCCCAATGCCGTTGAATTCAGGTAAAATGAAACATTAGCGTGAATTATTTACATTCTAAAATATTTCGTTTTAGAATGAATTAGATTGTGAAGTTCAATTAATGAATAAGGAGGAATACAATAACATACCATCTACTTTAGAGTAAAAGCCATCATGTTAATTAAAATTTGTTAAAAATTATACTGTTTTAGAGTCATTCAAATTGATATGTATTTATATTTATTATTATTAATATTGTTTAGAGTTGTTTAATAAAATTGTCAAACAAAACTGATAATATAAGAAATGTTTTAACAAAATATGTTTATTTTCGAGGGTCATAAAATATTGTGATTAAAAATACATATAAATATTTGCAATTTATAAAATAAATTTATTCAAAAAGAGAAAAAAAAAAGGTTTTGTTTAAATTTGGTTTTTTTTTCATAGATATTCAGATGAAAAAATATTTTGAAATATTTTTTAGTTTTACATTAAAAAAAATTTTCAAATCTTTTTAGTATAATAGAGGTCGAAAAAAAGATTAAATAAATACGCTCCTGTAACGTCTTTGACAATGCTCGGAGTAAAGAAAGAGACAACTAGAAAAAATTTGGCTTCATTGTTTTTACCGACCGTATTGTATAAACAATAGGTAGGTAATGTGATGGCAACAAATTTTGCATATCGAGTTTTCGGTGGGAACGAACTTCTCCATAGTAGGGAAGTGTAAATAAACTATTTTTAGCAACCTGTCGGTCTGTTGGTCTGTCGGCCTGTGTGTGTACGCGTGTATCTCAAGTCTGGTTGAATCGATTTTGATGAAATTTTATATATAAGTTTATTTCCACCATGGCACGGATTGATCAACTTTTGGTATATATCAGGCCTCGGGAACTGCACTTTTTAGCGGGCCTGTTTTACATTTTTGAACATTTTGAAGAAAATATTCAACCGATTTATTTAAAATTTTATATATAAGCTCAGCTCGACCGTCCGCGAAAACTCCTATGTTTTGAAAGAGATCAGGCATCGGCAACTAGACGTTTACTACGGGTCAAATATACATTTTTGTGTATATAAAGAGAAATAATCAACCGATTTCATTGAAATTTGATATATGAATTCCTCGTATTAAAACAATGAACATGTACATTTTTTGGAAAGATCAGGCATCGGCAACTAGACGTTTACTACGAGCCAAACATACATTTTTGTGTATATAAAGAGAAATAATCAACCGATTTCATTGAAATTTGATATATGAATTCCTCGTATTAAAACAATGAACATGTACATTTTTTGGAAAGATCAGGCATCGGCAACTAGACGTTTACTACGAGCCAAACATACACTTTTGTGTATATAAAGAGAAATAATCAACCGATTTAATTGAAATTTAATATATGAATTCCTCATATTAAAGCAATGAACATATAAATTTTTTGGAAAGATCAGGGCTCGAAAACTGATTTGCGGGCCGATTTTACATTTTTCACCATTTTGAAGAAAATATTCAACCGATTTACTTGAAATTTCATATATGAGCTTTGCTCGACCGTCCGTGAAAATTCCTAACTTTTGGAACAAATCAGGCATCAGCAACTGGACATTTACTACGGGCCAAATATACATTTTTGTGTATATAAAGAGAAATAATCAACCGATTTATTTGAAATTTAATATTTGAATTCCTCGTATTAAAACAAGGAACATGTACATTTTTTGGAAAGATCAGGGCTCGAGAACTGATCTGCGGACCGATTTTACATTTTCACTATATCTGTGGAACGAATTGATGGAATTTCTTGAAATTTGATATTTGAGTTCTGGTTGTTACCGAAACTAACTGGTGAGCATTTCAGGGAATTCGGGTAGCACAAACCGAAACTCTACTAAGAGCCAAATTTACATTTTTCTAGGTATGTTAACTATAAGCTTACTAATGTCCTAAAATTGGAAAGAAGTATTTAACAGACATTTTTATAATATTCTGTAACACTTTTATTTAACTAGACAATACACAATGCGGTCGATTATGTGCTGACCCCATCAGATTTTTTGAAGATGTTATCTTCTTTAATATTTCTAATTCGTTGCTCCTTTCTTTAGTATTTCTTACGACTGACAGAAATGCAGGCCTAGGAGAAAGTGACAGTTCACAGCTGACGAATTTAGAGGTATTCTTATGGGATCTATAGAGGGCCCCTTTTTACATCATAAATCTCCCACAAGATCAACTTTTTTCAAACTTTTAATTAGGAAAAGTTAAAATTCAATCTTTTTATACTTTACTAGTGCTTACATTCTTAAAGTTTTGTGTTATTAAACATTGAATAGTCGATTTAAAAAAGACCACCTAGGTTCCGCTCATTTGTATAAGATTTCAACAAATGCTACACTACAGATTTGTTTTTCGAAGTATGTAGTTGATTGTCATGTATTTTTTCAAATTTGAGAAAATGTACATTTGATATTAACGAGTTTGATAATTTTGTATGATAATGTCTCCCAAAATGCATACTTCTGATATAATCATATATACATATGTATGTATATCTTATACTTTTCATGTGTATACTATGTCAATTAAATTTATATGCTTCATAATTCAAGAATTATTGAGCATGTTAATTCTTTTTATATTAAAAGTTCACATAATTCTTTTTAGATATGTATGTGATTTTAGTATTATTAGGAAATATTTTCATATGTTAGTAAGACTAATTCACTGATCTATCTAAACTAACGCATAAGAAACTTTAAAACTTAAACAAGTTTCTTATAACATTTTTATTATGTTTGCTTTTATATAAGGGACAATTTGAAACGACGCACGTTTTATAATGATTATAAAATTTTAAAAGCACTTTCGTAATTATAAAACTTAAAATCAAATAAGTACAAATTTATATTAAAATCTAGTAAAATTTTTATTGGCTTTATTTTAAGTCGTGTATTCCTGACTGAAATATAAAACACCAAATTTTTTTATACACTTTTTCTGTTTTTTTTTTTTCATTTTTTACCCTCAATTCTCTCAGATATGTTGTCTGACATGGCGGTACAATGCGAAAAAGACTATATAACTTTAATAAAAATTATAGTTAAAATTTTGAGTTGAAATTTGATTTTATTGATATGTTGTACCGGAAAATCCAAATATCATTTTAGTGTACAGATTTTTATGTTTTAGTCAACTTTTCGTATAGAAAACTCGAAATGAAAATAGGCAAAAATCTTAATTTTTCCAAAAAAACAAAAAAAAAATAATTCTTCAGAAATGCCATGTCCCCAAAATTACATACATATGTAGTTTTACAAATCCAAGTTCAGTACTTGATTTTTTGTAATGTAAGGGTATTTCTAATTTTAAAATAAGATAAGAATTATCGAAAGTAGAATTACATAATAGATCACCAGCTTATTACGTTCAAACTGTTGATCTCATTGGGTTAATAAAACAAAAGAAACTAGAAAATCTTCCAGGTGACGTCACATTTGCAAACCATAGAAGCGATAGGGTAGACGTTGTTATTACTTATCATGATACAATTGGAATTGGTACAAACTTAAAAATATCAGTTCTTTAATTATTTTCGCAACGAAGAGATGATATTCTGAATTCTAAAGTATATGTAAAGATTGCAATAATTGTTACATATTTCCAAAACTAACAATTTCTGAAATTAAATATTTTAAAAAATGAATAGAAGGCATACTAGAGGAGCACAAAGTAAACCCTTCATTTCTGGTGGAACAATATATGTAAGTATCAATTTCTTTTAGGTTTTAAAAATTTTGTAAATGCTTTCAACATGGCGGAAACAAAATTTTCTTATATTGCACATTTATACCTATAGAAATTAAAGAATAAAAACAATTTAGTTTAAAAATGTAGAATCAAAGATCGTGTACCTAAACCAAAAAATTTACGATACAGGTAGGTATACGGTTCAGCGATTTGTTCAAAATGTTTTGGAATTGGGTATTGATTTTACAATATTAGGACATGGGGGTGCGCTTAATAAATTACAGATTGGTTCATTTGCTTGTGTGTTATATATACGATATTCATAAATTTATTAACCATGAGCATATGTACATAATGAACGTTTAAAAATTTAATATATAGTTAATGAAAATTATTGTTACTATTTCAATTAACCTGAATGCAATATACAAAATTAGGAATCTGAATTTGGAATTATTGAGTTGGAAAATGTTGTGGAAAATAGAAAACGAAATACGAAATTATATCTGCAAACATACATATATGTATGTACATACATTATAATGAAATTAGTGGAGTGCAGTTTAATTGATTTGGAAAATTTTAGTACGCTAGGTTTTAAGAAGACCTTATATAAGACCCTAATGTAGATACTAATACTATGTAATTGCAAAATCAGCGATTAGACTATGACAGTGATTCTTAACCGGGTGTACGAGACACATTTTTAAATTTTCAGTAAAAATCAGTGTCAACCGCCACAAACAGCAGGACAAAAATATCTATAAATCTACCTACGTAAATCGCATTTAATATTTTTTCTAAATAATTTAAAAATATGTAATTCTACATACATATGTAATATGAACAAATGTAGATAATATGCACATATGTATATACATTTAAGAAATATGTAGGTACATATTTGCAAATAAAAAAAGAAGAACGAGCGAAAAATTAAAATTAAAAAATAATGATGTTTCTACTATGAAGTAGTAATGTGTGTTGCTAAGTGTATACATGTATATTATGCATGCATATGTATGTACTATGTTTACAATTCTGATGGATTCCATCTTATTTCCGTGCTGTTTTTCAGATTAATGTATGAACAAATTTGTAAAGAAGGTAACTTTTTGGTATGTTCATACACACATAAAAAAGATTAAGAGCAAGATCAAGGAAGAAGAATAATGTTTTCATGTTACTTTGATAGTACATACATATGTATTTATGAATACATAAGACATTGCTTCTGCGCTTCTTTTTTTTGCTAAATAAATTGAATAATATTTTTTTTTCCTATGTAAAAAAGAATCTTATTTTCACAGAGGTACGGTACAATAAAGGGGTTAAGAAACACTGGTCTAAGACATTATGTTTCATTTTTATAAGGTTAATTGTATTAGAGTCATGTAAGGTTAAAAAGTTTGTTTTGGGATGTATAAAAAACATTGCTTACCATAAATATTTTCCGCTAAAAGTTGAGCAAAAAATAAAAATTAAGGATGAAACAAAAAAAAAAGTATCTGTACAATTATTTAATCCATGTAAAATTAAGCGCAAACGTAAGGTGGACTATGTTGCGACTAAAATTTTGGCCTGATCGTGTATCTCGCTAAGTGAGAGGAAAGTCAGTAACTATGTATTCTTTAATCCGTATTGCGTATCTTGTTCTTTTCTAAAATATATGCAAAATCTATTGAGATACTTTGTTTTTGAAATGCTATTGAGAAAATGAATATGTACCTAATTTTATTGAAAAGCTATTGGGGAATCTGATTTTAAAGGGAATAAAAAGTGAGAAGAAAAAGCGAGATACAATTAGGTTGTTAACCAAATCTACATAATTTGCTTTAAAAAACAGCACTGCAAAGCAACCATCGCGTTGTGTATGTCTCATTTCTTTTTTTAATGTAGAAATTCTATAATCTAAAAATTATTTAATCATGCTTGTGTGTTTCGAATTATTTACTTGAGAAATTTCTTAAATGGAGAATAATGATTAAACTATGGGTGGCAATGTTTTGATTAAACTATGCAATGACAATTTGAACAAGAAATCGAATTAAGTGACACAAAATTTGAATCTGGCTCTTTAACTCTTTTTCAAAATAAGGACACACAGATCGGATTAGCTTTGATATTTTAGCTTTATTAAATAAGTAATACTAAATATGTAAGTACTTCAGTAACATAGTTAGCAAGTGGCCGATTCTCACTTGTAATTCCCCGTAGGTAAATAGGTACCTGCAAAGGTAGTTCTTTTTGTGTTCTCGGTTCGACTTTTGCTAGATGATTTGTTTGAAAATCAAATGTATAAGAAGTTAATTTTTAGCACAAATTGTTGATGGGAAAATTCGTTTGGTTACACTAAGTAATAGCTTCTTTAAACTAAACAAACACTAATAACTAATGAGATATCGTCATATGGATATTGCTATATTACATTAAAAGATTTTTAATTATAGTTTATTATTGCGATAGCTTCAAACTATGATTTTTATTAACATTAATACCAATATTCATATTCAGGAAAACTTTTTGTGAACTCTGCAAGGGATTAAAAAAAGGCTGAAAATAACTTATCATATTATAAAAATAATAATTTATTGGATTAAAAGATTTAATATTGGATAAAAAAAGGTGGATTTAAAGCAAGCATGATATTTCCTTCTCTAAATTTATCAAAAGACGAGTGCAATGGAGCGTTGAGAAGGCTTGAATTAGAAACGTATTCAAATCTGATAAGTGTCTTCCGTGCTCAAGGATGTTTAAACAATGAAAAATATAAGATACTAGGAGAAATGCGTAAATTACTTTTCATAACTGAAGAGCGTCATCGAGCTGAAGCTAGACGAGCAGCTAACGACGAACATTTGTCAACAATTGCAAATATGGTGTCTGGTCCAAATTCTGAGCTGCAATGGCTTAAAGAAGGCAGAAGATTATTTCCACTGCTAAATAGAAAAGCTCCTCTTTCAAGTCTCACAAATGTGGCAAACTCTGCTGCAAAATATTCTTTGAATAAAAAAATACCAGAAATCTCAAAAAAGCCGGAAAATAAAAAAATAAATGAAGAAAAATCAGATGAAAATTACTTGAAACAGCAAACAAATTTTAATACAGGAATCCTTTATAGAGAATTTCAAGGCAATAAAAATATGGATGCTTTAAAAAATTTGTATGCATTATCAAAAAATTCAGCTCCGTCTTCTGAGCCAAATAAAGTTGTTGAACTTGTACAAAACAAAATTTGCAGTTCAACAAATGCAAATATTCTTCCCAAAAATGATTCAAAATTGGATTATACTAAAATTGATACATTAAGATCAACTCCCAACGAAAAGAAACAATCTGAAAACAAAATTGTTATAAACCACATTGAACTTGATAAACTTGATCAGCCCAATATTCCTATTTTAGAAAAAGGCAAGTTTATCGTTGTCAATAACGAAGCTCCTAAAGCTATTGGGAATGTAAGTTTGGTTGGAAATATTTTAAATATAAAACGTAAATCATCGGAAAAAATTTCCGAAATTCCAGAAATTTCACAAAGTAAATATGGAAAAACCGATATTGTCAAAGAGCAAAATGTTACTGTGCCTGTACCTGAAAATCTTGTAGATCAGTCCAAAGTTAATTCCAATCAAAGTACTGTTGCAGTTCAGAAAATTATTAACCCTTTCGTGATTGAAAATGTTAAAGTACCTGCAAATGCAATACAATTAAAAGATATACAAAATCGTAAGGCTGTTAAATTAATAACAGCTGCAAACGGAAAGATTTTTATCCAACCAGCCCAAGGTAATTCAAATAGAATTGCTAATATCAGACCTATCACCACCGTTATAAAACCCAATCAATGTATAGCATTGAAAAAGGTCACTTCTTTAGGACCAGTTACTGAAATTCAGCCACCTATTAAAATAAGCAAAGCAAATATGATAATACTACCCAAAACTGCATTGAATCAAAAGCAATCTGAAGTAGAAAATATTGAAATTGTAACAAAAAATCCAAATTTAACAAAATTTACAGTACAACCAGTTACTTCGCAGTCTTCAAATACTTTAACAAAAATAGGGAGTGATCAGCAAAATCAAACAGGAAATCAGGGTAATGTATTTGTTATCGGTTCCGTTATAAATCAAAATATAATACCATCGGAGAAAAATAATGACAATTCTGAAAAAAATAAGCATGATGGCAATAATGAGAATGATTTAATAACTGAAGATACACCAGTTGATATAATACCGAGTCCTATAGAAGAAATTTATAAAACAGAATCACTTAAAATTATAACAGCAACCCCAATTGATGCCAACATGTCAGAAACCCTCGATATTTCAGATAATAGTCAAGTTATTAGCAGTGAACAAAATCTTAACGTTTATAGCACAACCGATTGGGAGCTTGAATTGGATCAAGAAGCAGCGCAACGTCATAAGGAAAGTAGAAATTCTGAAGAGGATAATTTTGATTCAGTAATTGAAGAAATTGTTGAAGAAGCTACAGAAATTGATTCATTTTCTGAGTATGAAGAATCTTGTCAATATGATGAAGTTAGCAATTCATAAATATTTCAAAAAACGACATCAAAGCTTTCTTCTTGCATAATCTTGTATAAAGCTATTCAGAAATTTCTAATTCCAATTTAATAAATTTCTTGTTACATTTGTCAATAATAAAAATTGTAAGAACTTATACAAAAGTTGTTTATATTTATAGTACTGATATATAAAAAGACAATAAAATCAGGTTGAATTCCTATGGAGAAAGCATTTACAAAATCAATTAAAAATTTTTATAAAATAAATAATATTGATTTCATTTTATTATTAAATATCTTATCTAAGCGTAATTTTTTAAAATATTAAACTTGCAAATTCACTTTTATGTTAAAAAATAGAAGAAACATATTTCAAATCATAAATTGACACCTAGTTTTCGCACATAAAATGATTTTGCAAGAGAAGAATTCATAATTTATTTGATACATTTTATATATTTTTCACTTTTATATATATATATATTTATATTTTTATTAACAAATTGTCAAATTTTTTAGCAAATATCTTGCACGGGTCCAGATATTTGATAATCAATTTCTAGTTTTTGTAATATAGTTATGTGCATTTACTTGCAAATCTCAAACGAAATTTTCTTTTCTTTTCGCTTCAAGAAAAAAAGAGAAAATCATCGAAAGGTAAATATTTAATATAAGAAAACAAAGGCTTTTTTAATATCAACAATTTTTTTTATTAAAATTTGCTGTGGAATAAGGAGTAATTGCTGTTATAACAATTGATTTAAAAGAATATTTTGAATTTGAAAACCTTTTAAAGTTAAATGTTTGAACTGAGAAAAAATTAATTAACATAAAAATTCAGCAGACATTAGAGCTAAAGGTATTCAGCTCTATCATGAATTTAATTTGAAGCGCTGCAATTCGGAAAATTACAAATATCATATTGTCAATTACGAATTACTAAAATTCTGCTCTGGGTATTCGTAATGGAGTAATCATTTATTACATTTGTAGGAAAAATTATCCTCAAAAGTCTTCGAAAGAAATAATCATACGTAACAAGCAATTTAAAGAGAGTGGTCGTATTAAATTTTCAAGTTTTGAGTTTGAGATACCCTAACACAGCTACCATGAAAGGAAATTAATTCATATTGTCAAAAAATTTTTTGTTCCACATTTAAAAAATATTCAAAAAGTAAAAAAATTGCAAAATTTTCATGCAAAAGGATATTTTTAAAAACATCCTTTTGTATTAAAGTTGTTTACTGCAATAGCAACTAAAAGTATAAATATACATTTGATAGTTGAAATAAAATACTGATTTTGATACTTCGAAAAATGGTACTGCCATTGGTGATTCATAATCTCTACAAAAGGAATTTGTGATTATTTAAAAGTCTACCTCGTAGTATGTCCGTTATTCGTAGGATTGTATGTGTGGAATTCATGATAGGACTGATTATATAAAATTAATATAGAAAATGCTGCTTTTAAATTCTTGCACTTACTCATTCTTTGACCTAAAATAAAAAAGTTTCGTCTAAATTATAAAAATCCTTTTTGAATCATAATTAAAATATTAAAAATCCTTTGTTTAATTATAATAAATATGACCTTAATTGGAAAATGCTTGAAACGGATATATAATTTTTGGCAGTTATTTACCTATTAAAAATACTTGCACTAAAGGATATGTTACATCAGTGCAAAATTTTGAATTTAAGAAAAATCATGATTAATCATATTTTTTATGCAACAATCATTTTCTGTGAATAAATTTGTTTTAACTTATGTTACAAAAATTCTGTTTCTAAGATTAATAGGTAAATAAGTACATAACAATTATATATTGTTATATTTTAATTGCAATATTATTTTTTATTCTAAATTAAAAATATAATGGAAAATTTATTGCAATTACAAATGATACATTTAACGAGAATTCGTTCGTTTGGGTATGGCTTTACAGGAATGTTCATAGCTATTCCTAAACTTATCATGAAAAAAAATTGATGTTAACATGGTGGGTATGCAGTTTAAACATAATAAATTGTAACATTGGTTTCAATTGCTATTTAATTCTCAAATTGATATGGTATTTAACACTACAAAAAATGGCAGTTAAAAGATCACCTTCGATTAAAAGTGGGATGAAAAATATTTTTGGTTTGTACAAAATTGCAAATAGATTTTTTTTAATTATTTTTGTATTGATTTTAATTTTTAAATTATTAAAAAATAGGAAAGATTGTAAAGCTTTTTGAATAATTAAAAAAAGTAATAATTCGAAACGAAAATTTTTAAAAACAGGCGCAACAAAATGTGCAAGCACCAGCCCCACCTTCTTTTTCAAAAGTTTCTGAGCCAGCAAGTCAAGTGTCCGCTTCACCGAATATTTTGATTACTCCAGCTAAACCAACTCAGGCAACAACTGTTTCAGCGCCTCCACAACAGGCTGATAAAAAGCCTGTGGAGCAACAAGTAGCATTACCAACTATGTCAAACCAAATGGAGATCAAAGATTTTGCAAATGATAGTGAAGATACCGGAGACCAACCAGGAGTTAAAGGATTTTTTAGAAAAATGTTTAAAAATCGAAAGAAACCGTCAGGTAACGAAGTTTTTTAAAATTTCAAAAATGTTTATAAATTAATTACTCTTAACTCTTTAAAGTTCGTGCTAAAGAAAAGAAGATCCGCCAAAACCGTCTTATACGTAGGGTTTTGATTCCGAAAAATGCTTTAATGGCACTACATGAAGTTAAAAATATCAAAATTGATGATTTTCATATCACAAGCAATCCTGGGGGCGGGTTTCAAGCTATTGTAACCGTTAATAATGTTCAGTATCAAGGTGTTGGTTGTTCTAAAAATGCAGCAAAAAGTAATGTTTGCGAAAAGGCGCTCAGAGATTTAGTTATAGCTAAAATGTCGGTCAAATCTTCTCGCAGCAGTTCTATGGAAAATCTATCAAATAATGGTAAACTGGAGCTTACGCAAATTCAAAAAATAATGAATATATTTTCTTTTAGATGTTGAAATGAAAGATGTAAATGAAGTGGAAGAAGAAGAGGATGATGTTCCAATTCTTAATTTAGCTTCTTTTGCTTTATTTAAATTATTTTCGGAATGGGAAGCCGAAGGTTATGATATCCCAGAATTCCGGCCGACCCATCCAAACGGGAATCAATGTGATCCAGCTGCTATTGAAAAACAAGAAAAACCCAAGAAGCAACCTCCAATACGTAATGAACTTCCTGTTGGGTGGGAAACCATGCATCCTGCAACTTTGTTGTGTGTGATGAGACCAGGATTGACATACATTGATTTAGGTGCCGAAGGTTTACCACCAAATCAGACACAAAAAACAGGTGTAACTGTTGATGATCAACATTTTATCGGTACTGGGAAATCAAAGAAAATTGCTCGTAAAAATGCTGCAGCAAACGCGTGCAATACATTGTTTAATACAAATTTTCCATCTTTTGTTAATTAAAAATTTAAAAATTTTAATGTCGACATATAATGACACAAACGTTGACTCAAACGTTTATTAAATCATGTTAGTTTTTCAAGCTTTACCATTTTTATTGAACAGAAATTATTTAAAATTCTAGCAAAAAGAATCTTTGGTATAGTATGACGAATTGACGAAAATTGATAGTATTTGATAGACTTAAAAGTAAGAACGGAAATTTTTGAATATAAATTATTGTATGAACTTAATTAAACAATAATCAAAATTATTGACTATATTAATAACATATATAAATAAATTATAGAATTAGCCAACCTAAATAAATGATTAAGTTATTATTACACTTTGTTTAAAGATATTAAACTTCTTAATAAAAACTATTTTAAAAGTTTCAAAATAATAAAAAAAATTAATAAACCAAAGACAGAAAATTTTTTTAATGTACATATATTTATCTAAAGCTCTTACTTATTTCTTTCCAATTATAAATTATCATTGTTTTATGAGGATGAAAAAAAAATATAAAATTTCCCTATTAGTTTTTTAAACTTATGAAATTTTTGCAATCATCATATACAAGTTATAAATATTTATATAGCAAAACTTTAGCTTGCACATTTTTGCAACCCGAACGTTTCCAATCATGTGTTTTGATAATTGCATTAATTTGTTCAGGACTTAATTTAGCGTTAGATATCTTGCATTCGTGCTCAAGACATTTGTATAAATCTGTCTTGTTAAATGTGCGAAAGTTTATTATATCAATTGAATTACTAATTTGATTTTTCAATTTTTTTAAATTTATTTCAAAGATCTCCTCCTCAAGTTTGTCATACCTAGACAAGTTAAAAATGTAAATAATTAACAACGTATTTTCTGTATTCTCAACTACACTTTTAACTTTTTCATTAAATTGGTTTATATAATAAACATATTTGGTGGAAAGTCTATCCAAAATAATCAAATTTTTACCACATTTTGTAAGATTGTTGAGTATTTTTTCTAAATTCACATCGTTTCCAACGCCGTCAATATTTTGCAATGTATGTTGTTGGATATTTTCGCGCCAATAAAAATTTTTAACCAATGAAAGTAAAAATTTTGTTTTTCCGATACCTTGAAATACACAACGTTCTAGCTTTTTGCCATCTTATTAGTACACATATGTATGTATTTCGTTTTCTTACCTGACGACCCAATAATAGCCAACGAGGAAACTTTAGTTTTTTTATTTAATTTTTCTTCAATTAAGTCTAATGCTTCATTTTGATTTATAACCTCGAATTTAATACTTTTAATTAGTTCAGTTACTTTAAGATTATCCAAGGAACAACAATTTACACTATCGCTTGATAGTAAATTATATTTTTCTTTAATTTCAATATAAAATCCCATGAAGTCGATCGAAGTTAATTTTAAAAACGAGGCTATTGTTCCTATAATAAATATTAAAACCATTATCTTAATTTTCAATGAAAAGTGATTAGTAGGATCACAAATTAAACGTCGAATTTTACGATCTGCAGTCATTGCTATTTTCCAAACTAGAAATTTAAATTGAAAAATTATGAACTTAATGAAATAAAAATAAAGCGCTTTTTTAATAGTTCAGTTTAAGCACACAAAACGTACATATGTACATATGTCAACTTTAGTGCAGAGGTTTTTCAAAACATCAAATTTACGTAAAGTGAACTATACAATTACATATAAGTTACAAATAGCTCAGCTCAGAAACGACGAACCAATGAATTAACTTTGAAAAAAAATTGAGATTTTTGCTTTTGGTTCTAGAATCGAAAATATGGTGGCGTTCGTGTCGTATATATGATTGATATCTATTTATTTATTGTCATCACGGCTGACAGATTTTTTGTAATGTCAAGATTGTCATTAAAGTTTGATATAGGAAAAATATAAGAAGCAATAAAAGCATAACATAACAGTTATTGTATTTTCTAATGTCTAAGAATTAGAAATGCTAAAGGAGCATTTTGAAAAAAAAAATTATGTCAAATTTTTTCTAGTTATCTCTTTCTTTGCCAAAGCCGTAACAGGAGCATATTTATTTTATTTTTTTATCTGGCCTCTAATATAGAATATGTATAAGTTGCAAGGATAAATTAAAATTTTTTTTAAAGTAAAAACTAAAAAATATTTCAAAATATTTTTTCATTTTAAATATCTGTAAAAAAAATCAAATTTAAACAAAACTCATTATTTTTTTTCTTCTTTGAATAAGTTTATTTTATGAATTATAAAATTATAAATTTTGGCAAAATATTTGAAATGCAAACTCCTTTGTTAATAATTTCAATTCACTTTTTTTTTTCATTTAATTACTGCTAGGAAAACTGTAACTATATAAAAAAACGAGAAAAAAAAATAAACCGTGCCAACTCTGTGATACCTGTACGAGTTTGCAGTTCTATGTGCGAATAAATGTGTCATAACTGACTATGTGTACTATAACTTTAAGTTACCATATTAATTTATGCAAAATTTCAGTACTGTGTTTTCAATATTTTCTAAGATATGGCGAAACTACTATTAAAGCTGTATGGCAGCTACAAGAAAGAGTAAAACAATTTCAACGAATTTTATTAAACACGTTAGCTCAACTTATTTATTCGCTTGTGTGAAATTTCAATATCACAGCTTTTATAGCTTCTGGGATATAGTCAAATAAATTTAGAAGTTGTATGGCAGCTACCAGAAGAAGCGAAGAAATTTCAACGACTTTTATCAAACACATTTGCCCTACTTATATATTGGCCTGTGCGAAATTTCAATATCACAGCTTTTATAGTTTCTAAGATATAACCAAATAACTTTTAAAGTTGTATGACAACTTCCAGAAGAAAACAAGCAATTTCAACGACTTTTATCAAACATATTGGCCCTACTAATATATTCGTTTGTGTTAAATTGCTATACCACAGCTTTTATAACTTCTGCGAATATAGTCAAATAAATTTTGAAGTTGTGTGACAGCTACCCGAACCAGTACCCCGATCATATTCAATTTAAATAGCGTTCTGGCACTTACTATAAAAAATCATTTGTAAAAATTTAGTCAACTTAGCTTAATTAGTTTTTGAGTTATTATGGGACGGACGGACGGAGGGACGGAAGAACAGACAAGGCTAAATGAACTCAGAATTCGCTGACCAAAAACATGCACTTGATTCTATATCTAAGACCTTTATTTCTTAGGATTAAACGGTAAGGCAAATTTAGTACACCCTTCCTGGTAAAATTATGTCATTCAAAGTAAAAAACTTTTAATTTGGAATAAAACAGAGATAAAGAAAAAAGTAGAAAATAAAAAATGTGATGTAGTAGCCCAAAATTTTAATTAAAATGCAAAAAATTACTCTTAATTAGATGACTAATATTTTTAAAAAATATACTTGGTCAAGAAAAAAAAATTATTTGAAAAATCTAATTTCAATTTTAGTACATTTTAGTTCTATGATAATGCAAAACATGACTCTAATTTAGAAGACAAAAATTGTTAGGACACACGTTACAATTGTTAGGTCAAGACATACAACAATTGTTAGGTCAAGAAAAGAAACTTATTGAAATGTCAGATTTCAATTTTAGAATATTTTAATTCTGCTAGGGGCCCCTGTGGTTTGCTTATAAGCAGCATTATCTGTTGTAAAAACCGGATTGTGGCAATCAATTTTAAAGTAAGTTTAGAAAAATTTGTACATATTATGGCATACATATGCAGGTTATACTTGTATATGCATAAATATCATATTGGTTTGAATACTAATGATAAATAAAAGTAATGGAAATATTTTTAATTTAATAAATTTTAAGATGTAATATGTGTCACTGTTAATTACATAGATATGATTAAAATTCAATTTAAGAATTAGTTAACAATTAAGAACGAAAAATTTCCTTATAAACAACGTTATCTGTTAAAATATTTCCATCATTTGTTTGTTATCCATTTTTTAAAAAGAAAAGAATCCGCAATTGGAAATAGTACCTTTCACGTTAAACTTTAAAACCAAAGTGAATGTGAATTAATAAAAAATCAATGCCTCTTTTCTTTATACAGACCTGGCTTGGCTACTTACTCAATTGAAATTTCGCAAGCACACGAAGAATAATTGCCTTAGTACGTAACGTAACGTTATTCGTGTTCTTATATCTCTCATAATTTTTAGTTTTATTTTTTTTAATTCCATTTCATGTTAAATACAACAACAAAAAATTATTTTACTCTTACTTAACTCATTTAAAATATTTCGCTTCCTTTTGCTTTTTATTTTTGTTTATGGTAGTAAAGCAAAAAAACAAAAAAAATATTACTACTCTTTTTTTATTCTCTTTCGCTTTTCGCTTTTCATTTTTTGTTTTTGTTTTACAGTATGTATAATCAATTGAGTAATGTATCTACCCAGTATTCTCTTTTGCTATTTTCATTTTTTTGTTTTTGTTATTTATTAGATTATATGTATACCTGTTCATGAACTGGAAAAATCTTGTAAAATATAATATAGATCTTGTAAAATATAATATAGATGATAATGCAAAAGTTGACTCTAATCAAGAAGAAAAAAATTGTGGCATTAATATATTACAGTTTAGAATTCTTCTCGCATGCAACATACTGCTTGTAGCTTGCCGCATACCACAGTAGCTAGCCGCATACCACAGTAGCTTGCCGCATGTCGCTTGTACCTTACCCCATGTAAAGTTCAAGCGACATTATGCGGCTTATAGCTTGCTACATGCCGCATAATGATGACACATGCCGCATGTTCCTTGTCAAATACCGTATGTTGCTTGCCACATGCCGAATGTTGGTTGTCGTATGCCGCAACTTGTTAGCCTTATGCCGCATGTAGCGTGAGTTTTAATACATATAAGCTCAAGAAAAATGCAAAATGTGACTCTAATTTAGAAAACAAAAATTGTTAGGATATAATACTATAAAATTTTAATATATTTTTAATTTATATTATTTAGTTATTATATATAATAAAATTTGAAGATATTTTTAATAAATATAATGAGGTATTATATATAATATTATTTTAAGATATTTTTAATAAATATAATGAGGTATTATATATAAGATTATTTTAAGATTTTTTTAATAAATATAATGAGGTATTATATATAATATTATTTTAAGATATTTTTAATTTATATAAAAAGGTATTATGTATAATAAAACTTTAGGATATTTTTAATAAATATAATGAGGTATTATATATAATATTATTTTAAGATATTTTTAATTTATATAAAAAGGTATTATATATAATAAAACTTTAGGATGTTTTTAATAAATATAATGAGGTATTATCAGTGCTGTAGTCGTAAAATTAGCATAGGGTATACGCTTGAGAATATAAATTTTTGGTAAAAATAAACAATGTTATTTTTAATTATATTATTATTTGAAAAAAAGACGTAAAATATTACATACAACTTTTACAAACACCACAAACACCAACTTTTCATCAACAATTAAAAACAATTTAAATAAGCTTTTAAACCAGTATCAATAAACTTACTTAAAGAAGTTTTCAAAATTATATTTTTTTGAAAATCAATGTTATTTTGTCAACAGCTTTTGCTAACTTCAAATAAACTAAAGAATATGCAAAATTAACGTCCACAATAACGTAGTTTAGCATGGTTACCATAGCAACTTTAGTTAAAGAAGAGTATTTGATAAAATTCAAATATATTTTCAATTGTATAGAATTAGAAGAAAATCGTTTTAAATCGAAAACCAAATTGTTTATGTATTAGTTTATATCACTGCTGGATAAATACAGCATTGGTAATAAGAGAACATCTATCTTGAAGAAGTCGTTTTTACTTTTTTTTGTAAATGATTTTAACATCAGAAAATTTAACTTTATTTTTATTTAAACTTTAATTTTTTAACATATTTTCTATTAAGCAAACATAATAACTTTTAAATATTAGGAAAGTTTAAAGTTTTCATTTCATTGTGGTTTTAAACAAAATTACCACTTTCAAAAATTAAAGGTTCGGTTATATTCGTTTTCCGTTTTTCGTTAAAGGAGGCTTGTTTGATTATTAATTTGAATATATGTAGTTGATATATTTTTCCCAAGAAATTTTTACTAAATTAATGAAATATTTTGTGTGAATTGTTAATTTGAAAATTTTTTGCAATTTTTCAGTACAATTTTTATTATCATTTTTTTTTTACTATTACAAAGAAAGAAAATAATAAATTTTTAATAAGAAATTTGAACAAAATCATAGGGTATACGCTATTTTTAAGTAAAACCACTAGGTATGCGCTATCTAATTTTTAAAAGCATAGGGTATACGGCGTATACTCCCGTATACCCTCCACTACAGCACTGGGTATTATATATAATAAAACTTTAGGATATTTTTAATAAATATAATGAGGTATTATATATAATATTAATTTAAGATATTTTTAATAAATATAATGAGGTATTATATATAATAAAATTTTAAGATATTTTTAATTAATATAAGGAGGTATTATATATAATAAAACTTTAGGATATTTTTAATAAATGTAATGAGGTATTATATATAATATTATTTTAAGATTTATAAAATATGAAAGGCGAAGTTTTTTATATACCACTCACGATAGGTACATTTCACATGAATATATTTACTCATTTCGCATTTAATCTACAGGTATTTTGTCCAAATTTGTTTAAAATTTGTTTTATTTTTCACTTTCCATAAAAATATCACTTAGACATTTAATTTTAATTGTGATGAATGATATTTTTGTGGGAAGTGATCTTTAAGTCCTTCAAGCGATCTAAACCATTGTGAGACATTTGCGTTTGTTTGGATTTTAAATTTTTAGAATATAAAAAGGATATTTCTTCGAATCAGAAATTATAATTTCACTATTTGATTTTTGTACCTACTTGAATATTTTTATAAAACTTTTAATTTTCAGTATATTTTTTTAACATACTGAAAAGTGGGAATTTTCCGTCCAAAAAACCGAAAAGTAGAATTTAAAAACCTGAAAAGTTGAAAACAAAAATTATCATTTGTTTTTGTATGACGTTCGAAATCGATATAGTTTTTTCTGGTTTAACAATCGAAAATATGGTAGCGTTCGCATAGTATGTATGATGACATTAATGTCTTTATATCTAACAAGTCCCAATACTCAATTTTTTTACGAAATATTACGAATTTTTGGCTTCGTTGCTGGGTTTTTCTTTAAATGCCACTGATCGTGTCATATTTTTTATTATTTTTTTCTTTTTTTTTAAGTAAAAAAGAGTTTAATTAATATTTTAAAAAATCTCAGGATATTATACACATTTTTTAAAAAGCTTCCCATTTAAATTCTATTGCACGAAAAAGAAAGAAAGGTAGGAGGAAAGAAAACATGAAAAAAAAATTCAAATTCATATTTCAGTATGGTTTCAAATGTAAATGAGGAAGGATTATGATTTTTTATGCACATTTTGTATTTCCCAATAAAGTAAATTGAGTAGTGTCGGCCAACAAAAATGTTATTAAAAGTAATATAGGTTGAAACATTTCAACAATTTGAATTATCTCATTTCGGTTATTTATACGTTACTTATAAAATTGTTTCAAATAATTTCAGTTAGTTTTTAAGTTATTAAAAATAAATATGTATGTACCTACTTCCAATAAATTTTTTTTTAAATAATTATTTTAAAACTATTTCAAACATGTTATATTGAGTGCTCCAAAAATTTTGCTGTGCTCTTTTTTCATATTTTATTGGCAGGTAAACAAGATGACCTATTTATAAAATGTCCCTGCATGTGTATGTATGACCTATCTTAATTCTAAACGGAAAGAATTTTACATAAAGAACAAAAATTTTAAAATACCTGTTATTTTACAGTCGGAATTTTTGAGTCATTTGGTAAAATACCATTTATTTCAAAAATAAAAAAATATTCAAATCCGGTCATAAAAATATATGATTGTTTTTTCCAAACATTTTAAATTTTTTTTTTTCTTAGGTAATTGATATAAATGATAGTAAGTTTTTAATATTTTTTCAAATAAAAATAGATGTAAAATTTTGAAGTTTATATAAAATTTGTATTTAACAAATGATATTTGATTGTATTTTAGATATTATTTTCTAATTCCCTCTTCAAATTTTTTCTTTACTATGTATTTATATCAATATTTAAGAATTATCTTTCATTAGTTATATTTTCAACTTGACACCACAGTTACTTCCCATATCTTGAGTTAACTTACCCTATGAGAAAAAAAAGCTGTTCACTTAAAAATAATAAAATGCTTTCAGTAACATATAAAACGTTGAAGGCGAAGGTGGTGTTTGTTGTTTTTCCGCTTTTTTTAGAATTTTAAAATAATTATCAATGAAAATATTAATGTATTTTTTTGATTTTTCAAATATATTTTCTAAATTTTACCTGCTTTATAATAAGTGTAAATTTATTTTAATATTTCTTCTCAAAAAATAGCCACTTCGATTTAAAAAAAACCCATGTAAAATAAGGTCGTGCTTTCAAGTTTCTCTCTGAGCATTGGGACTTGTTAGATATAAAGACATTAATGACATCTATCTATTGTCATTAAAGCTTGACATAACAAAAATATAAGAAGTATTTTTATCTGCCATGCTTAGAGCAATAAAAGTATAATATAACGCAGTTATTGTATTTTCATTAGAATTTTGTAGCAAAATTATAAGTTAATTATAATAGTATTATAATAATATATAATAGTATATAATAGTTACTATGATAGTTATAATAGTATTATAATAGTATAGTTAGTATAGAAGTAAAATAATTATAATATAGTTAGTAAAGTGCTAAGATTTTTGATTTCAGTGAAAATGGTTTATTTGGAAAATAGTTATCACGATTTGAAAACGGTAGATGAAACAGAAACTTCAATAATTTCCGTAAGCTATGGGGAAGTGTTTATTACAGAAGATAAGCCTTTAAAATGGTGGATCTCATGCAACAATTGCGAAAGTAAATACGACGATTTAGATAATTTTTTGAATCATGCTACTAAAGTCCATCTAGAAAAACAAACGAACATTCTTACAACTGAAAATGAAAGTTTTCAATGTGATGAAAGGCAAAGTAAAAGCATTGAGGATGAAAATATTACTTATCAACTATTTTTAACTGACCATGAAAGTTATAAAGCGAATGAAAAAAATAGTGAAGGTAAACTAGATACAGAGAGTAAAACTGAAAATGAAATTGTAATGGAAGATAAGGAAATAAATGAATCGGAACTTAATATTGATACAAGATCTAATAGCTCAGATAATAAATTGGGAAATTCAAACTCGAAAACTAAAGCAAATTCTAATGCAAAACGGGAAATATATCCATGCCCGCATTGTGATAAAACATATACCGGAAAAAGGGCTCAAGGGGACCATATCAAATCTCATTTTCAATTACAGGAAATATTTAAATGTGAAGTGTGCGGTGTTACTACAACGAGAAAGCATTATTTAAAAATACATATGCGAATTCATACTGGAGAAAAGTTTGTAAATTCATCTAAATTTAAATATTTAATAAAACAATCAATAAAAATAATTTCAGACCTTTTAAGTGCACCGTTTGTCCTAAAGCTTTCACCGCACAAAATAATCTTACAGTTCATATGATGACGCATACTGGAGAAAAAAAGTTTTCTTGTTCGTTTTGTGGTATATTTTGTGACTTTTATAAAGTGCTATGATTTAATAAAACATTATGTTATAATTATAGAGAAACCATTTCGTACCAAAGCAGCTTGTGATATACATCAAAGAACACATACTGGTTAGTACTTGAGCTATCATACTCTTAGTATTCAATGCTGTTGTAAAAACTGCAACCGTTTATATGAGAATAGTTTTTTTTTTTCAAAGTATGATAAAGGGGGTATCTTTCAATACAATTGTAAACCTGTTATTTAAACTTTGATAATGTTCCCATAGAAATGTTGGAAATTTAGTAGTAGGCAGCCACTTAACTTTAAAAGTACTTGATTAAGTATGAAAACGATGAACATAAAAGTATTTTGGATACCGGAATGAAAATCAGTTCTGATTCCAATAAATATAGCAGTAGCAGTAATGATTGAAGTATTTTTACAAATAAAATCTTTTTTTTAGGTGAAAAACCATTTCAATGTGATGCATGCGGGAAAAATGTAGCTAGCACTTGCACTTTAACGTTTCACAAAAAATCATGCCATAAAAAGTCTGTTGAAAAGTCCAGTGTAATTAAGGAAAAATTCTGCCAAATTGCAAGTATGAAGACTATTAAAAAAAAAACAAAAAGGAAATCAGCTAAACAAGATTTTGGTAAGATTTTAATGAGATAAATATATTTTTGGTAAGAGGAATATATATATGTACAGTAACTGTACATGTATATATATATATTAATGTTCGAAACATAACTGTAAATCAGTTATTTTTCGAACATTAATAATACGTTAATACATACATACATATGTCTATTTCGACATGACAAAAATTAACCTAGATCGGATCCTATTTTTTTGTTTATATAATTATAGTTAAAATTGCTTGTAAATTTTAAAGGAAATTACATTTGCAAAGTACAATTTTTTTTGTGGTAAAAATGACGTTTTATGTTTGAAATATTAACATTTTTTGAAATAATATTTGAAATGTTAAGATGAAGACAGGTTATGCAAAAATTCAAACATACACATGTAACTCGAAATTTTAGTAATTAACTTCAATTTTCTTTATAAGCTGTTTTTGTGCATTGAGAGATTTATTATATACTTGTCTGGCTTATAATAGGTCTGGCTGGTATAACAAAGTTTTTTAAAACTATAGAACTTGAAAAACTTTATAAAGTTGTTGTATGCGTTTGATGCAAAACGTCTGATATAGTACTTTTTGAACAAAAATGAGAGAAGATGATGACGTTAGCATTTTTTAAATAATGTTTAAAAGTTTTTTGAAGTGTCAGAATGAGGGTGTATTTCGCGTTTGTAAAATTTTTAGTGACCCTTTGGAAGTCTGGAATATATTGTATACAAAATTTTTCACCAGTTTATTAGATATTAAGATATAGAATTGTTTATTTAAGTGTTGTTGTTCAATTCGATTTTTTGCAATTGTAATATGGAATAAACGAAATTTGGGTATGGTATACATTTAGGATAAAAATTTTCCGAAAATGATCATATAACAGCTGTAAAATACAAACAAAGTTTGATTTGAATTAAATAAAAAGTCATTTTTATTGCAGAACAACATCTATTTAACAATAAATTTACTCATAAAAAGAAAGAAAAAAAATTTATATGTCAATTTTGCTCTAAAAGTTTTGGTATGCTTTTAACTTAAAATATTTTATTATAAATTTTAGTATCAGCTTTTAAATTTTAGATGAAAAAGGATTAAAAATGCACGCAAGAGTTCACGCGGAAACCAAGGATTACATGTGCAATATATGTAAGGAATATTTTCGAACGTATCATAGCATGACGTATCATTTGAAAAGCAGACATGGCTGTTTATCTATGCCAAATATCAATTACACATTGAAAGGAAGGAGTGATTAAAACGTTGTACAGTCCTTTTGTCTGCATTCGATTTCCAAAAGTTCAAATACTTCAAACGTTGAAATTCTCATGCTATTCTATGATATTATTTTTCATATTTAAAAATCTGTCAAACTAGCATAATGAACTTTTAAATTAATCTATGAAAATGTAAAAATCAAAATTTAAATCGTGTGCTTACGACGTCAATTTTACAAAGTATGAAATTCCACAAAGTTTAGCGAAAGCTCTGGACATTGTAAACTTTTACTAAATGCGTTTTATACGTAGTGGAGACGTAAAATAAAAATAAATCGGTAATCGCAAAAATTGAACACGCTTTTCTTATACCTTGTCATATAAATGTTGCCAGAAATAACCGATAAAATAAACTAGCATATATTTTCAGCAATAAAGTTCTAATTATCAAGTTTTTTTCCTAAAATGCAGCATAAAAATGGTATGTTTTTAATGATGTAACGTTTTATAAAAATGAACATTAATTGCACAGAACTTTAAATTGAAATTTTCAAATAAACGTCAAAGTTTTATTGATATGGTAAAAATTGTATTCCAAAATATACGAAAAGCTTTAGTAATTTTTTTTACAATGTAAAGGTACTGAAAGCTCTGAGACGGTACCACAACCGTATTAATACAGCACTTAAATCTTTTTTAAAGCATTATTGAAATCACGGAAACTGTATATAAGTAACAAAAACTTTCCGTGACTTCAATAATGCGCTTACGCCCAAACTTTACAAATTATCACATTGCAATGCAAAAGTTTAGTAAAAGCTCTTGACATTGTACATTTTTCTAAATGCGTTCTATACGTAGTGGATAAGTAAAATAAAAGTAAATTGGGTATCGAAAACATCGAGCACGCTTTTCTTATACATGTCATATAAATGTTGTCAGAAATAACCAATTAAATAAACTAGCATATATTTTCAATAAAGTGCTAGTTATTAAGTTTTTTTTCCTGAAATAGCATATAAAAATCCCATATTTTTAATGATGTGGTAACGTTTGTTAAAAATTAACATTTTCAAAGAACTTTAAATTGAAATTTTCAAGCAAACGTCAAAATATGTATAAATATTGCAAAAATTGTATTCCAAAATGTATCAAAAGCTTTAGCAGTTTTTTTACAATGTAAAGGTATTAAAAGCTCTGAGACTTGAAATTTCCTGGAAATTTAATATTTAAATTTGAATTTTGAAAACAATGAACATATAAATTTTTTGGAGCGATCAGGGCTTGGAAGCCAAACTGAGGGCCGATTTTACGTTTTTTACCATATCTACGGAACGGATTTATGGAATTTCTTGAAATTTGATATTTGAGCTGTGATTGTTACCGTAACTAATTAGCGAGCTTTTCAGGGAATTCGGTTGACACAAAGCGAAACTTTACTAAGAGGAAAATTTGCATTTTTCAAAGCTTACTAACGCCCTAAAAATTGAAAAAGAGTGTTTAAAAGGAATTTTTCTAATCTTTTACTTAGCTAGACAATATACATTGCGGTCGGTTATGTGCTGATCACATCAGATTTTTATTTAAATTTCTATAGATGCTACAGTATCTAAGAACAAAATCCTTTTTTCAAAAAAAATTTTTTGAGGTATTGAGTTGACTTTTATGCATTTTTCAAATTTGAGAAAAAGAAAATGTACATTTGATATTAATAACCTTGCTAATTATGTATGATATGACCCCTACGGTCCCACGAATGCATATTTCTTATATAATCAAATCACAAATGTATGTTTGTATATCTATATTTTTTTCATGGGCACAAATAATATAAGCCTCTAAGGATATATATGACAAAGGGGTGCCACCAGGGGGAAATTTCAAATTCTTCGAAACCATGAGAGTTTTTTCAAGCGTGTTTCAGACTGAGTTGCACGCCATGGAATTGTGCAATGCAGCCTTAAGAGAGGGCATGGGGGACAGAACGTAGCGATTATGTCGGATAGACCGCCTGCCATCGGAGCGCTGAATTCGTTTTCAATATATGGCAATAATTCCTTCGCGGCAGTATGGGGCTCAATGAGAAAATGAATTGGGTAGGCACAATCAGGTCACCTTGTGCTGGGCGCCAGATCATGTAGGCGTGGTAAGAGATGAGGGGAAAGGAGATTATGTCCAGTAGCGTTTTAAGAAAATTATAAGAATGAGCAAGAATCAGAATCCTCACCGTGGCCTTGTCAAATCATTTTAGACTTAAGGGGCACATCAGCAGGCTTGGGCTGGCAAGTGAAGGTATTTGCAGGTTCTGCGGGGAAGATTTTAATACACCTTCTGGGAGAGTGTGTTACTATAATATAAGGGGACTTTACTCTTTATTTTCTTTTAAATTTGGTTTTTCAGCTAATTTTTGACCATATTTTTATTCTAATTAGAATATTCAGAAAATTTCAAGTTTACTTAACTGGTCTGTTTACAAATATAAGAATATTAAACTGGTTCAAATAAATTTGATTTATAAAAAAGTCGCTTTCCACTTTTCAAAACTGTGTATTTTTGGTATACGCATAAGTCTGGTTTATGTATGTGTGGCAACCCTCCGCAGAACCACTCTGGTTTCAATACTTCCTTACTGATCTAAACAATATTTGTAACAAAATTATAAGAATTAAATTTCACAATTTTGAAAAATCGTAACGGACCGCTGGATTAAGTAACTGCAGGCCGCGAGGTTGATTGGCCTCTTATAGAGGAATCTAAAAATGGGAACTCAGGAGTTTTACAATTGCCGGTGGGAAATACTTTGGTTGTTGCCAGTCTAAAATTAATATTTCTATGGCTTATTTCATTAGCACCGGTGTTAATTTCAAGACAGCTGATTGTAACAATTTATTTGTTAAAAGTTTTCTATTATTAAAGGTTATTAAATATTAAGGCACGAAAAGTATAATCTACAAGAACGTAAACATTAAATTGAAATAGAAATCGTAAATTTATTTCGTTGAATTGAAAAATATGGAAGTGTAAGTGATGCAATTCCGGGGAAAATTGGAAAAATTTAATACGTACTAATGAATGATTGCTTATGTAAAATTACACTATTCACACCAACCTTAATATTAAACTAAAAATGTCGGCTAAGTTATCTGTTGTTAATAAAAAGGTTGTATTGAATAATTCCGTAAAAGTACAGTATATCCCTGCAGCAATACATGGTTGCGGAAAAGCGAATATGTCAACCCATTTCGATCCGTACACAGAGGAATTGGAAGATATACTATCAAATTCTTTGCGTGGTTATCCAATGAAGGGAGAAAAAATGAATTTGGACAGCAGATTTATTGGAATTTGTACGAGAAATAGTATGAGAATATCAGATGAAAATGAGTCAAAAGCTTTGAAAGCATTTGGCAGTTTCAATTCCTTGATCTATTGGAATTATGATGCAATTCCCTCTAAATCTGATCCATTTAAGCAAGCACTGCAAATGCCCGATATATTAGATAACGTTTTAGATATAACGGCGTCTGATATAAAAGAGGAAATAAAGAAACACTCTTGAATGATATAAACTTAAATAAATTTATGCAAATTATTTTTCAGTAAAATTTTTTACAAACTTTAACTGGTTTTTCATTTTTAGAGTTGATGCTCGTTATTCTGCATTGACAAATTTTGAAGTTTTGGAAATTTTAAGAAATATGAAAGATATAAAGAAAACGCCGGGGTTGAGAAATTTAGCAACGACAACTTATGAGGTTATATATTTATACAAATAAAGTATGTAATTTTCATTAGTATATGTATATTTTCAAACCCTGCAGTTTTTGGAAGAATCTTCCTGTAAAAATCAAACAAAAGAAGGCATACAAGCTTTTATTTCTGAAATTAAACAATTTAAATTTACAAGAAATGAGTGTTTAATGTTGTTTAGTGGTCCACCCATAAGTCCTTTACACTTTCAATTGGTAATAACCTACATTGAAGTTTTATTTTTATAAAAATATTTATATTTTTCTAAGCTTATTGAGGAGAGTGAAGAACGTTTGACGGAAGAGCAAGTAAGCAAAGTATTGGAAATAATAGGAAATTACTTAATACCAAATGAACAAAATAAAAATAAACCGTTTTATATTTTGCAATTAAATAATTTTTTATGTGGGATAATTGTTATAAATTACAAAATTATCAACGTTTTTGATCTCCCAAATCTTCTATGAAATCTTCTTCAATTTCTGGCCATTTCTCTGGAATAACTTCGAAGAGATCATCCTTAACATCTCCTTGAATAACGATTTCATCTTCTCCTGTAACCGAGGAGCCACAAGCAAATTTTGTACCAAAAAATTTTGCTGCCATTTTCAAATCAATTCCTAAACGGACAAAAATTTACAATTTGATATATGGGTTGGTTTTCGTATTGAACATATTACCAAATGTATTTAATCCTGTTACAACTGTTACAGATTTTTTCTTTGCTCTAGGAGCACGAGACAAACATATTTTTTTTGGACCTTCATCTTTTTTCTTTGTTTTCATCATGCCTTTCCCACCCCGCTTTTGCCTTTTTTTGTCTTCTTCACCACCGCCACCGTCGGCACCATCATCTATTTTAACCTTTTCGAATTCGCTTGGAAGATTTTTTTCTAACCATTGCTTACATTTTTCGTAGTCTGGATAATATTCACAATACTAAAAAAAAATGCAATGTTATTGAATTTATTTTTATTAAATATTAAAAAATATATTACTTCGATTGGCATTGAACAGTTACCGCAGTATTGCACTATTAGTGGATAAACTACGCCTTCCCTGGGTCCTATTTTCAAACGCATCTCGATCTCAGTCATTTTACGAAATTTTGTTTTAAAACTACCTAAGTTCTATTCTGTAATCTGTATTGGTTATAAAAATTATTCAATGTTTTCTGTTTGCATGAAGAGTAAAATTTCCAAAGTTGCAGTTAACTTATTTTAAAATGTAGTAAAATCTAAATATCTAAATGTAGCAGGTAGCGAAAATTCCTTAAGAAAACGTTGTTTTACAAACATAAGATTCACGGAATCATTCACGAGGCAATATAACTCATTTTTAAATTGTAATTCTTATAAATCATTTTCCATTCATTACTTTTCAATATGAACAAGTATGTAAATGTTAACAATAACATAACTTTTAAAAAAAATTAAATAATTTTTGAAAAGAAACATGTTCGCGAGATAAAGATATATTATTTTTAAGTAAGATAATTAAGTAAAAATTGAAATTTGTCTTGTAAAGGAAGCTTGCAAATACTATTATAAAAAAAGGAAACTAGTATTAGAAATGGGGTATCTACTAATTTTAACAAGAAAAAGACAATTGAAATTTTTTTTAATGCTTTATTTTATTTGGAATTATGGTAAATAAACTTGTTGCTGGTTATGTTTCATGAAATGATATCGCCAGAATATTTAGTATTACCTAAAATTAAAATAAGTTAATCTTACCACATGGCTTTAAATAAAACAACAAATTAGACGCATGATTATGTAGAGTACGGAAAATTGAAGTGAATAAGACAAAGAAATGTCTGCATGTAAAATCTCCTAAATTGCTGTTTTGCTAAAAATAAAGTTGAGCTCATAAAGTTGCTTCGTTTAGAACTTTGGGTTTATTGCAGCATAGCATTAATTTTGAATATGAAAATTTGAAAGGTATCAAATATGCTACGTATATAGCAGATCTTCAACACTCTTGGCAGCTGTCATACCTGACAACGCCGTCTAGGTTAAGGGTCTCTTAAAATTTTCTTCATACAGGCCTGGACCCTAAGAGAGGAGTGACAGTTAACAGCTGACGAATTTACACGTATTCTTATGGGATCTATAGAAGGCCCTTTTTAACATTATAAATCTCCCCCAAAATCAACTTTTTTAAAATTTTTATTTAGAAAAACTTAAAATTCAATGTTTTTCTACTTCGCTAGTCCTTACATTCTTGTAAATAAGTAATTATCTCCCCTTCCACACCCCCTTGCAGAAGTAGAGAATATGGCGTTTTTTTTATAGTGGTATCCCCAGTAGGCCTAATCCGCTCATTTACCTAAAATTAAAGCATATTAGTAAAATTTCAGTATTTTTTATTATATTTCAGTATTATTTATTGGTAAAACAAGCTGTGTCATACATCAGATAAATTTGTTATTTTCCATTAGGATTGGGAAATTTATTTTCATTATTGACTCCCAGAACCCTAAACACACTCTGGTTGATTTTATTGTTGTCACAAATTATGACGAACACATGGAAGCCTTTCTCTTGAACTAAATTTATAACTTTGCTCGTGATTTCCACTAAATAATCTGCGGTGTTATATTTGATATTATATACATATCAAAAAAGGTAATATTTTTTAATAATTGAGTCCAATAATCAAGTTTCATTTCCCCTGATAAAATATTTTCTAATTTAATGGCTGGTAATGAATGTCCCGAAAATTTACTTACTGTTAAATCGCAATTAATTTTTAATCTACATTTAAACTCACACCCGAAGTTATCATTATTTTCTAAAATATATAATACAAAGCAGAAAGTATTTTTAAATACTAACCAGCCATCCAACACAATATTTTCATTGATTTTGTTTACTAAATCATTAAAATTTATTACTCGTATTATGTCGTCACTATTTTATATGGTTACCGGACAATTGGGGAAAATACTTGAAATCGCTTCTGGAATTAACCGAAGCCTTTTTTGCGTTTTTGGGATAAAAACATGTTTTTTTAAAATGTAAATGGTAAACACCATAACTCTCATCAGGTTTCCAATTTTTTCTAGGAATAGTCTCAATCCATGCCTTTCTACAAGTCTCCTTGTTAGGAAACCTAGAAACTGGAACATTTTTCTTTATTATACAAACCAATAATAAAGTAAAAGATATAGAAATTATTTTAGGTAGGAGAATAATATACATACGAGTATATTGCTCAACATGATTTTGATAATTTAGGTGACATCTTTAGAAGATATATTAATAAAAAAAAATAGGTATATACTCTGAACTCACAGATGGTCAATACAATGTAGTACAACACAAAATAGTAGAAATGAACGCAGGTAAAACACCAGAAATGTTTATAAAATTTTCATATAGGGCACAAGAGGTAGAAACAGAAACAGGGGCCTTTAGCACAAATTTCGTTTTATCATGTTAAGGAGAGTATACATTCAGGTATACAAGAAACGTTCAATAACATAAAATCTATTATCTAAATTTATTAGAATTAATTCAAATTGTAATAAATCAATGTAAGGTATGTCAGCAGGGTAAATACGATAGAAAGCCTATAAAACCAAAATTTAGTAATACGGGCACGCCAAGTGCTCTTAACGAAATTATACATATATGTAGATATATTCAAGTTAATGAGAAACAATTTTCTAACAGTTAAAGATAAATTTTCCTAATTTAGGGCAGCTTATTAATTACCCAATGAAAATCAGCTCATTTTAATAGAGCAGTTAGAAAACCATTTTAGTAAAGTAGAAAAACTAAAAAAGATTATAGCAGATAATGAATTCAAAGCATTACAAATACAAGAATTTTTTAAAGACGAAGGAATAATTTTACATTTAACCAAACCAAATAGTCATACAAGTAATAGCGATATTGAAAGATTTCACAGCTCGATATTAGAAAAATTCAGGGTACTCAGGATAATAAATAAAGATATTTCCATATATAATTTTAATAAAATAAAAAATACTTAGGAAAAAACTAAATCAAAAACAATTAAGAAATTAAATAAAAACAGGGAAAAATATAAGGAAAAAAGAAATGAAGGTTTTATGAGGAACTATACAGCAGTTAGGCATAAGCATGAACCTAGATTTAAGAAGACCAAATTAAGGAATATTCATATTACAAATATCAAACGACCATTAAAATTTACAGACGATGACAATAATGGCAATGATATTGACATGGTTTCTATTGACTATACCAATTAATGGATATTGACAGTACAGAAAATCCAAGAACGGAATGGTTTCGCCATTATAAATTTAGATACGACAGAAATAGTGACGGAGACAGATATGGTATTACATAAACCCGACTGAAATAATAAATATTTTAAATGACATACATATATATAAATACAGAGCAACTGGATATAGAAAATAAAAACGTTCTACAAATTACAAATTCTAAAAGACAAAGTGCAGAAAATTATTCCACGAAATATAAAAAGTAAAAGGGGTTAATTAATATAGTGGGAAGTGCGTCAAAGTGGTTGTTTGGTACAATGAATAGTGAAGACAGAAAACAAATAGAAAAACATTTAAAAACTTAGATTTAAACGGACAAATAAAAATTAATGAAAATTTGAACAAAAATCTAATACAATTAAAAAATTTAATATTAGAAGATAGGAAAATATAATATTAAATAAAATTAATATAATAGAAATAGGTATTAAGCAAAATTTATTTCATAATCAATTATTTAAAATACAACTATTAAAAGAAAAAATCGAACATAATTACAATAAAATATTGCTTCAGCAAGACAGGGTATTTTGCACGCAAATATTTTAAGTAGTGAAAAAGTGGAAAATTATAATATAGATTTTCATTAATTACAATTTATCCGAGTAGGATTAGTAAATTTTCAGGAGAACTATTAGTTTTCGCAATAAAAATTCCAAAAACATTTACAACTGTTCAATTAAGAAGCATAGTATCAATACCAAATAAACAAAATAAAAAAATAGATTATATGGAAGAAACAATATTTGTAATAAATAAAGTAGTTTATAAGTTTGAAGAATTTAAGATGCTAAATGAAGTTACCATTAGCAAGCATTGTATTTATAAAAACAATTGTAAACTAATCAATAATAATGTAACGGAAATAACGTCATTGGACGATAAAACTTTTTTAATTAAAAATATCAACAATGTACTTATAAATCAAACTTGCGATAAAAGAAATTTAAAATTAAATAGAAATTATATGACCAGTTATAATAACTGTACATTAAAGATTTTGAATCAAGAATTTAAAAATATAAAAAGTTTAATTAAAGAAAGATTTTATTACCCCAGTAAAGATGAAAATAGTGATTTTACAGATAAAATAACTTTTGAAGATATTGTATTAAAATTTGAAAATAACTTAAAAGAAATAAAAGAACAGCAGAATATTTGGTTAGGTTTAAATATGATAATAATGGTTATATTAAAAATTTTATTTATACGAGAACCTTTAACAATTTTGCAACGGTTATTTTGATCTCATTTTTATTGTTTCTTTAGAATTTCGCTGTGTATTGTGACTGTGGGAGTTTTTAATATTTTTTGGAATTCTAAATTAAACAGTTTATTTTGATGGAATTTCAAGAATCTCAATATCGCAACACTGGATATACGTAAAATATTATGAGAATTGAGAACACATTTCTTTTTCACTTTTTCTTTTGTCTGTTTTTTTCAAAATTAAGAAAAGTAAATATATAATAATAAATATCTAATAAATAAGAACAATATAAATGTAATAAGAGAAAACATAATGTGATCAGCACATACCCAATCGCAATCTGTATAGAAATCTGTGTGCTAAGAATAAGAGTTTTATAATGAGTACAAAACTGTATGAAGATATTAAAATATTACTCAAAAAAGAATTTAGTGCTTTTAGTCAAGAATTAAATGACAATTTAGAAGAAAGATTGCAGAAAAATAAAGAAGAAATTGTCCAAGAAGTAAATAAAGGTATCGAGCAAGCCAATATCAGAATTAAACAGTTGGAGTTAGAAGTTGCAACACTGAAAAACAACATAGCCGAATTAGTAAAAGATAAAGAAAGTGACAAGGAAGCGTACGAAATAAGGTCACGTAGGAACAATATAATTATTGGAAATATTCAAGAACAACCAGGAGAAAACGTACCAGA